CATGGCGAAGAACAGACAAACATGGAAGGAACTGGTAGAAAGGATGTAATGGCGATGCGTAGAATTAGCTACTCTACCATCACTTTGACCATAGAAAGCCCTAGAAACACCTTTACAGGTGCCCTTTGCTCCAGAAGGAGCTACAGGAAGAAGAAGAAGAGTGTAATCGAATGAGAGCAAAAAAGCGGCAGCCAATACCGAGAGCTCTCGCCTAGGTTAAACGTAAGAGCTTTAAAAATTGCTAGGAGACGATAGAACATTGTTGTATTAAAAACATTTAAAAATCTTTTGGCCAACTGTATTTACTAAGTTGTCAAAAGCTTTCAAAAATGAGGTTATTAATCTATGACTTACTCTCTTAAAATGAATTAGTCAAAAATAACTAATTATAAGTCATATTTGACTAATTGTCATAGTGAAAAAGCAGTCACTAATAATTAGTCAAATTCCACTGAATGAAATAGTCAAATTAGTAAATTTAAATTTAAAAAAAGTTTTGACCCAGGTCTGTCACTTGACAATTTTGTCAAGCTAACCTCTTAACGCATTCGGCTGTCAGCCGCTCTTATAAAAATTAATTTTATTTGTCAATAAATATTGTTCATAATATTTTAAAGTTTAATATATTATTTGTGTTGCTATTTTGAGCTAAACTTTTTGCATCTTTATTTGTTTTATGGGTCATTTAACCATGGAGAGGTATATGCATTTAATTCAAATAATACTTTGTTGTTGGCCGTAAACGACTAAAGAAATTAGTTACTTTTAACTTTCAGAAATAGTCAAATATGGTGACTAATCTTAAATTAGTCAAACTTTAACTATTTACATAGTAAAAAATAACTATTTAAAAGTGAAAACGACTATTTTATTAGTAAAAAATGCTGGTACTAATTCAAATAGTAGAATTTTGACTATTTCATTTTTAGAGAGTATACTTCAGAACGCCAATGTTTTAAAATAACGATTAGGAAAGGGCTGGGAAAAAACTCGCGTTGTCTCCCTGGCGTTGTGCCCACACTAAATAAATAAATAATTATCATTTCAGTTTAATCATCTAAGGAAAACATTATTTATAATAACTTAATTTATAACCTAATATAATATTAATGACAGGAGTTTGACAGCAGTGTCACAATGAATTGGATTCCAGTGGACCAAATATTTTACATATTTTTTATTATCAACAATGCAACCTAAGTATCCTAGCAATTTAAAGAATTCCCTATGGCCATCTATTGGGATTGGCTATCGTTTTTTATTCTTATCTCGCTTATCCTTTGCGTTAGACAATTTTAATTTTCAAATATGTGTTTCACGTTACTTTCGGCACGTTCCGGTTTTCTATGTGGCGCGAGTTCTGGGACACCCTGTATATATATATATGTATATTTATATATACAGGGTGTCCCGGAAAATGTGGGAAATCTCTCGGATTCAGATAGAACATTAAAAAATAAGATGACAAGTTCCCATAAATTTTTTTCCTAGCGGCCCTCCCTACGGAGATACGGCCTCCTAAAGGACGCCACTGGAAATCAGATTTCTTGAATAACTTTTAAACTACTTAATATAATTTAATGAAAATTTAATATGATAAACAGTAGTAAGGACCTCTTAAAATACTGCCCTTAAAACATAATTAGCTTGTTTAGTTTACCAGGGGCGGACTAGGTTGTATATTTTAATACTTACATTTTTAACACCCTGTATGATAGGGAGTTAAAAAAATAAATTTGGATACCTTGAACATTAAGCTAAAGAAAAGGTACTCCTGTTTATTGTCGATAAAATTAACCGTTTTGGAGAAAAAAAATAATAAAGAATTAATGTTTTATTTTTATTAAAAAGACCATGATTTCTAATTTTTTTTCTACAAGCGGAAAAGTGTAACTTTCCGCACGATTATGCGTGTGGAAACAAAAAAAATAAAACTTAAAATGGAAACCGATAAAGAAAATTTCGAGATTCTCTGCTTGTAGACACTTTCCGCACGCTTGTAGAAAAAATGTTGTACCTAACACTGTCTGCAACAAAGTGTGATTCGAAAGTAATTGAAATAAAACTGTCATTAGCATTAAAAAACGCACTGTTTTTACAAACGTTACTATGGTACCTACGAAATAATAAATATCTTGCATTGACGTGTGTATTTTAAATCTTGTCATCTTTCATATTGTTAGCACGTTGATCCTTTACTTCGATATTAATTTATTGAATTTTGAATATCTTGGTAAATTTAATTAAATAATGGGATACACATTTAGTGAGTATGCAAATATGCATCTTATGTACGGGCTTGCATCTTGCAATGCTTTGGAAGCAAGAAGGTTGTATGAAGAAAGATATCCTGATGGCAATATTCCAAATCAGAAAACATTTCAGCGACTTGATCAACGTCTAAGAGAGACTGGTGGGCGATTCTCAGTTAATAAGGCAACATTATTGATTTTCTTTAATAATTTTTAGGAAGTTTTGGGAAAACAAGTACTGATGCTGGTGTGAGAAGAACAGTACGTACGGTGCAATTGGAGGAAAATATTTTGGATAGTGTAGCTGATACTCCTTCAATAAGCACTCGAAGATTAGCCTCGCAGCTTCATACGTCAAAAACGATAATTCATAAAGTACTTAAAGAACAGTTGTTACAACCTTATCATTTGCAAAAAGTGCATCAACTACTTCCTCAAGATTTTCCTCGTAGAATCCAGTTCGCAAACTGGATGTTAGATCAGCAACGGACAAATCCAAACTTCATTAGCTCTATTCTTTTTACCGATGAAGCAGGGTTTACCAAAAATGGTATTTTAAATTTACATAACTCGCATGTATGGGCTGATGAAAACCCTCATGCCACTGTTGTTCATCATTATCAATATCAGTTCCAATCAATTAATGTTTGGGCAGGAATAATTGGCAATTTTTTGATTGGACCATGCGTATTGCCGCCACGATTGAATGGTGAAATTTATTTACAGTTCCTTCAGAATGCTTTTCTGGATTCAATAGAGCATTTGCCAATTGAAACCCGCCAGCGCATGTATTTTATGCATGATGGAGCCCCACCTCATTTTAGCGTTGCTGTACGGGACTATCTGAATAACGTCTATCCAAACCGTTGGATAGGCAGAGGAGGTCCCATTGCCTGGCCTCTACGCTCTCACGACTTAACGCCAATGGATTTTCACCTGTGGGGACATCTCAACACCTTGGTGTATTCCTCTCCGGTTGATACTAGGGAGGAACTTTTACAGAGAATCACATTTCATTGTGATGCGATAAGGAACAATGCTGGGTTGTTGTGGCGAGTACAGCAGTCCTCTATTCGTCGTGCCCGCGAGTGTATCAGAGTTCACGGAGCCCATATTGAACCCACTTATGAAGTTTTTAATTGATTATTTCTAATTTAATTTTTCTGTACATTATTTTTTAAGGTTGTTTTTTAAATAATTTCAAGAAAAACATATTTCTAAAAATAATTTTTGTTAAGGTGCCTTTCTGGGACAAGACTGAATTTTTAAGAATCTTGTAATTTTGTCGGATTAAATAACCTAAACTAAAACTTTTCTGTTTCTTGAATGACTTTCGTATCACACTTTGTTGCAGACAAAAAACTAGAAATCATGGTTCTTTTTAATAAAAATAAAACATTAATTCTTTATTATTTTTTTTCTCGAAAACGGTTCGTTTTATGGACAATAAACAGGAGTACCTTTTCTTTAGCTTAATGTTCAAGGTATCCAAATTTATTTTTTTTAACTCCCTATCATACAGGGTGTTAAAAATGTAAGCATTAAAATGTACAACCTAGTCCGCCCCTGGTAAACTAAACAAGCTAATTATGTTTTAAGGACATTATTTTAAGAGGTCCTTACTACTGTTTATCCTATTAAATTTTCATTAAATTATATTAAGTAGTTTAAAAGTTATTCAAGAAAATCTGATTTCCAGTGGCGTCCTTTAGGAGGCCGTATCTCCGTAGGGAGGGCCGCTAGAAAAAAAAATTATGGGAACTTGTCATCTTATTTTTTAATGTTCTATCTGAATCCAAGAGATTTTTTACGTTTTCCGGGACACCCTGTATATATCACATTTCAAATTGAAGACTGAACCCCATAGATTATAAAAGAAACCAACTAATAAAAAAACGACATTAAATAGCGTCCAAAGACTTGTTTGTTTCTTTATGATGGCTTCTCAACCATTCGGACAAGGACTGCCTACGTAGGTTTGGCACAGCTACACGAGAGCCCTCTTACGATATTAGCAGATTCCTTTTTAGAATCTCACACTGGGAATGCCCAATTAAATTCAATTGGAAATTACCTATGGGTAGCTTTAATCGAAACCACTAAAAAACAGTAGAATCCTAATTGGACTTTTTCATATTTTAAACTATTGGGAATAATCAATTAGCAGATTCCTTTTTAGAATCTCACACTGCAAATGCCCAATTGAATTCAATTGGAAATTACCTATGGGTACACTAAAAAATGAATTTCTGCAAATTTACTGAACAAATTGTGGGTTATTTGTTGCCTGCAATTTGTACAGTAAAATTACTGTAGCTTTGTAAGGATTACATATGTTAAGTAAAATCACAGAATTTCTGTAATAGGTGTATAACGTAAAACTACTGATGTTCTGTAATTGTACAGGTCTTATGTAAAATAGATACATAAACATTACTGTAATATTACAACATACTTACTGTGATTTTACTTTAGGTCTGTCTACAGATTTTATGTAAAATTACGATACTAAATTAGTAAATTTAAAATTTTATTTAGAACCTCAAAACTGGACGTATTATACGTATTATACGTATAATACGTGCTATAGCAATTAACGTCAAAGTTTGTTTATTTTTATATAGGTATGTGAAGCAGCTTTCTTCTTCTTCCTGTAGCTCCTTCTGGAGCAAAGGGCACCTGTAAAGGTGTTTCTAGGGCTTTCTATGGTCAAAGTGATGCTAGAGTAGCTAATTCTACGCATCGCCATTACATCCTTTCTACCAGTTCCTTCCATGTTTGTCTGTTGTTCGCCATGTTCCTTGCTTCTGTCCATGTTAAACCTTGTTTTTGGAGTTCTTCATTTATTGTTCTTCTCCATGTGTTATTTGGCCTGCCTGTTCTTCTTTTTCCTGGAATCTTATAGCTGAGTGCTTGTCTTGCTATGCTTTTGTTATTTTTTCTTAGTGTGTGTCCTATCCATTTCCATCTGTTTTTCCTAATTGTTCTTTCCACTTTTTCTTCTTCTGTAGTTCTGTGTAATTCTTCGTTTGTTATAGTGTTTGGCCAGAATATACCACATATAATTCTCAGACATTTATTAATAAAGGTTTGAATTTTTCCTATGCTAGTACAATTTTTCCATGTTTCTGCACCATATAATAAAATGCTTTTTACGTTTGATCTAAATATTCTAATCTTGTTTTTTCTGGACAGGATTGTTGATGACCATATTTTGTTTAACCCTTAACTACTACGCGGGGTCTTCTTGGGACCCCAGATCTACATTTTTTAGTTTTCAGAACGATAACATATTGTTTTATGCATGAAGTGCCAAGTAGCTGAGTTTTTCGCTTTTCCACATAATATTTAGTAATCTGAACTGATTTTCAATAAGTAGTTTTTAGAAAAACTACAATTTTATGAACGGGGTTCCTGAAGGACCCCATTTAGTATTTTATGTGACGTTTTTTTAATGTTTACATTTTTTGTTTCAGTTGTTTATCAAGACCAAAAAAGTATAAAAAAGGTGTAAAATACTTTATTTACTAAGAGTGTTAGTGTGAAACGTATAAAATGTCTAGGTGGTCTCGGAAGATCCTAACTCAAGCAGAGCTTGAAGAAATAGCAGCTAACCTTGGGTCAAATGACTATGAAAGTGATCAGAGTGAAATTGATGATGATGATCGCGATCCCAATTTTGTGCTTGGAGAGGAAAGTTCATCGGAAACTGAAGACAACATTGAAGAAGTTGTGGAAGAGAAAGAAGATGAGCCGGCGGTTGACAATGAGAAAACTATGAGTTTAGGGAAGATGTGCAAGGGGACGTGTTAGGGGAGGGACAACTGGAGGAAGGAGGGAGGTTAGAAGTTAAATATACTTCGAAATCTGGACGTATATGGACCCCTGACGCGCCTGTTTCATCTCGACGCCCCTCGAGGAATATTGTTAGTACCAGACCTGGACCAACCTCATACGCCAACGAAGCCAATGAAGCTTGTGAAATTTTTAGTCTTTTCGTGACTCTTGAAATGAAGGCAGAGATCTGTAAAATGAAAAAAAACCGGAGAGACAGAAGATATGGAAAGACATTGATGTTGTAGAACTAGATGCCTTCATTGGAGTTTTGATTACAGCGGGAGCTCTACGTTGTCGAAAAGAGAATGTTGCAGAAATGTGGTGTACAGATGAGTCCATTCGCCGTAATATATTTACAGCATCAATGGCTCGTGACAGATTTGTTTAGATCAGTAAATTTATCAGATTTGATGATAAGGCTACAAGACCAGAGAGGAGAGAAACAGACAAGCGGCATTCAGGGACATATGGGAAAATTTTGGTTCTAATTGTAAAAAGGCATTTGTTCCCCATGAATACGTAACAGTGGATGAACAATTGGTAGCTTTTAGAGGGAAGTGTCCGTTCAAGCAGTACATAAGTTCAAAGCCTGCAAAGTATGGTATTAAAATTTGGGCACAAGCCGACGTGAAAACAACATATCTGAGTAATCTGCAAATTTACACGGGCAAGCAGCCAGGAGCACAATCTGAAAAAAATCAAGGTTTCAGGGTAGTAACAGATTTAGTGTCTCCTTTATATGGTACTGGTCAAGGTGTTACTACAGATAATTTTTTTACGTCCTTACCTCTGGCCGAATTTCTTCTCACCAAAAATCTCACCTTGCTCGGAACTGTGCGCAAGAACAAGCCCGACACTCCAGCGGAACTGAACATATCTAGAGGCCGAGCTGTTTTGTCATCTGAATTTGCTTTTTCCGATAAGGTGGCTACGGTTTCTTACATACCAAAAAAAACCAAAATGGTCCATATGCTATCCACGCAACATCAAGACAAGTCTGTTTCTGCCGAAGAACATAGGAAACCGGACATGATCTTATCATATAATGCTACTAAAGGGGCAGTTGACAATGCCGATAAGATGATAAGACTAGATAGACGCACTTCCCGCTGGCCTTATCGACTCTTCATGAATCTCCTTGATACTGGGTGTCTAAATAGTTTTGTCATATATGTAGCAAAAAATCCAAACTTCTCTTCAAGAAAAACATTTCTTCTAACCCTAGGAAAGCAGTTAGCTAAACCAAACATGGAACAGAGGCTTGGAAGTTCAAAGAAAAATCGTAGCGTTTATAGAGCAATAATTGCGTGCGGAATAAAAGCTCCGCTGCAAGAGTATGAAGCCATTCCTGCAAATACGAAGAAACGAGGAAGGTGCAACCTGTGCCCTCGTACACTTGATAAAAAAGTGAACTTCAGATGTGACGACTGCAAAAAATTTATCTGCGGCAATCACAGACGCACTGTTACCAGTACAAAATGCAGTTCAAATTGTACCGAGGATAATGAATAATGCCAAACTTATGATTTTCTTTTCTTTAATAAAGTTACCTGGTTTAAATAAACAAGTTTTTTATTCATGTGTTGCCTAAAAAAATGTGCATTTCCATAAAAAAATAAGAAATATCCCATTTAGTGCCTAATATATAGGAAAAATAACACGATTATATTAAAAAACAGATGGGGTCCTTGAAAGACCCCATTCAGTACTTTACGTAACAAAATCTATCGTAGTAATTTAAGGGTTAAACTTTTAAAGGATTTTTGTGCCAGAGAAAGTCTTATTTCTATATCCTTTTCGGTTCCGCCTTCCACACTAATTATACTTCCCAAATAACAGAATTCCTTTACTTCTTCTATTTCTTTATCGTCCATAATTATATTGTCTTCGGTTTCATTGTTTGTTAGCAGTTTCGTTTTTTTTGCGTTAATTTTTAGACCCACTATATGTGCGTTTCTTTCTAGCCTTTTTGTTTTATCTTGTACATGCTTTTTTCTCGTCGCCAGGAGACAGATATCATCGGCGAATTCTAGGTCTTCTAACCTTTTAAAAACTTCCCATATTATTCCACTTTTCCGATCTTCAGTTCTTTCCATAACCCAGTCCATAGTTATTATGAAGAGTAAGGGTGACATCCTACAGCCTTGGCGCACTCCCTTTTCTAGTTTAATTCCCTCAGAGAGACTTCCTTCGTGTTCTATTTTTGCTATATACTCTTCATAAAGCATTTTTAATATTTTTATAAATTTTTCAGGTACTCCATATAACCTCAGAATATCCCACATCCTTTCCCGTTTAACTGAATCGAACGCCTTTTCAAAGTCGATAAAATTTATATGAATTTCTTCATTTTTTTCCGCTACTTCTTCTAAGATAAGTCTTAGTGTGCATATGTGGTCGATGCACGATCTGTTTGATCTAAATCCGGCTTGGTTTTCTCGTAGTTCTCGTAGTTCTCGTATCGGTTCCCTCATTCGATCTATTATTATTTTTGTCATTATTTTGCTTGCAACGCTTAAAAGTGTAATTGGCCTCCAATTCTCACATGCAGATAAGTTTCCTTTTTTTGGTAGCTTGATAATTATTCCCTGATTCCAGTCCTGGGGTATATTTTCTTCCTCCCATATTTTCTTTAATAAGATGTAGAATACATTAACGGACAATGTAAGATGGGCTTTAATTAATTCAGCCGTTATTCCGTCTATTCCTGCTGCTTTGCCATTCTTTAGACTTTTTATTGCAAGTTTTATTTCCTCTTTGCTAAATTCTCCTTGGTTTATATTCATTTCTTTATGTTTATTTTCCATACTTATAGGTTCCTGGTCTTCCTCTTTTTCTTTATACATTTCTGTAAAATATTCTACCCATCTTTTCATTATGTCTTTGTTTGTGGTATATACTTGTCCTTCTTTTCCTAGTATTTTTGAGTATTTTTTTCCTTTTAAAATATTTGTTATCTGATATAATGTTTTTATATCATGTTTCTGTGCTGCTTCTTCTGCCTCTTTTGTTAAAAGTTCGATATATCTTCTCTTATCCCTCCTAGCACTGGTTTTTACCTCTCTGTTTTTTTTGTTGTATTCTTCTTTCATTTTCTGGTCTTCTTCTTTTGAACTGAGTATTTTCATTTTTACTTTCTTTCTTTGTTCTATTTTTTCCTTTGTTTCTCTTGTAACCCATGGTTTGTCAATTTTATGTTTATATCCTATAGTTTCTTTAGTCGTTTTTAAAAGGGTATTTTTATATTTTTGCCAGATTTGTTCTATGCTTTTTGACTTAAGCTTTCTAGGCTTCCCATACAATCTTCTAATTTGTCTTTAAATTTGTTTTGAATCTCCGGATCTTCTAAGTATCTTAAATTGAATTTTTCCCTTTTCAGTCCTTGGGTGTAATGTGCTTTTAAACTTATTCTTATTTTCCCTCTTACTAGTTCGTGATCCGTTGCCACATCTGCACCTCTCATAGCCCTGACATCATGTAAAGAATTTCTCCATTTTTTCTCAATTAAAATATGATCAATTTGATTTTTTATTTTGCCTCCAGGTGAAGTCCAAGTCAGTTTATGAATAGTCTTATGAGGAAACAATGTACCTCCTATGATTAGATTGTTTATGGCACAAAATTCTAGCATCCTACTTCCATTTTCGTTCATTTTTCCTATTCCGTGTTTTCCCATTACTTCTTCTTAACCTTGGTTGCAACTTCCAACTTTTGCATTAAAATCACCTATAATAATTTTAATATCTCTCTTGTACTTCTTATTAATTTTTTGCAATGTTGATTGTAGAGTTTCATAAAATTCATCCTTTGTTTCATCATTCTGAGTATTCGTTGGTGCATACACGTTTAATATACATAATATGTTCCTGAATTTAGCTTTGAATCGCCCCCATATTATTCTTTCGGATATCCCTTCCCATTCTAACAAAGTTTTGGATGTTTCTTTATTCAACATTAATGCTACCCCCTTTTCGCTTTTTGTCCCTTGTTTATTGTTTCCTCTGTATATTATTTCATTTCCACCTTTTAGGCGCAGTCGCCCTTCTCCTTTCCACCTTGTTTCGCTGAGACCCAGGATACTAATTCTGTTTTTCATCATTTCCGTTTCTATTTGGTGAGCTTTACCTCGCCTATCTTACCTTTGTCCTCCCACTTATAGATGGCGCTTTTTCTTGTTGCACTTTAATAGTCTCTGGTATTTTGGTTTTAGGTTATATTCATGAATTAATTATAATGGACTTAATTAGCATAAAACTCACTTTTTCTTTCCTTTTATTTTTGGAACGTCTTCCCTTAGTTTTTTTCTTAAACTTGATTTAAAGTTTCCTCTCTCAGACAGCTTGATAATCCACGACGAAGGCACTTATTTTAATAGATTTCCGCAAAGACAGGACTTATTCTCTATTATTCACAAAAATACGCACTGCACTTAGATCATTAAACCTGTCAAATGAGTTAAGTTAATACAAAATATCACTGTAAACTTTGTTTATTAATCGCAAGCATCAAACACTCTTGATCACGGCGGTCACCAGTTTTCAGGTTTACAATGAATGAAAGGAGGCTCAAGTTATGTGAAGCAGCTTACAACCTTAAAATTACTGCTAGTACCTTTTAAGAGTACAACTGATTAAAAAATATGTAAATCAGTATAGCTTTTAATTATATACTTTTCAAGATTTCAAACTCTTGAAAAGTACTACCAGTAATTTTAAGGTTGTAAACTGCTTTACCTAAATAAAAATAAACAAACTTTGGCGTTAACTACAACGTCCAGTTCTGAGGTTCTAAATAAAGTTTTATATTTACTGATATTTTTATTAACAAAATAAATAAAAGAGGTTGGCAGGTAAGTAAAACTTAAAAAGAAAACATTTACATTTTTTATTTAGAAAATGTAACAAGTAACATGGTATATTATTTATGTCATCATATCATATTATTATCATTATTTTAATAATAATTACCCTAAAATGTTAGAAAATTAGCTAAAACACAACAAAAAATTTAAAAAATGCTAGGCTCAGGAGCAATTTTTACTTGGTAATTGTTCGTGTGGTTTGCTGTCAATAAGTTTTGAGATTGTAAGCACTAATCAACGATTTACCAAATTTATATGGTTAGTTAAAAAAACGGGTATCTGCAATTGTACCTACTATACTATATATACTATAAAAGCTTATACTATTTTTTAATAAAAATATTAAGAACATAATTTAAGGTATTGACTTACCTATACTTTTCACAGAAACGCAGATAAACGACAAGACACTGAATACTGGATAAAGCGACGCCATGTACAACTTTCTTTTTTGATAAGCAATCACTGGTCCTTTTTAAGCATTAAATTATCAGCTATAATACCACAAGAGCTTTAAATTTATCGGTTAATTTCCGATTTGTTGTTGCATAGTGACGGGAGAAGAGTGTCAATTTGACAACAATTGAAATCCCAACAGCCCGTAGGGCTGGAGGGATTTCATTGTCAAATTGACACGATTCGACGTCACTATGCAGGAATAAAGAGGCAGTTGCCTCTTTATTCCTGCATAGTGACGATTTTAATTAAGCTCGAATGGTAATCATAAGATTATTTTAAAAGCTATATCTTCAAAAGGATTTATGGCTCTATGAAACTCTTTGTACAATTTTTCCTGTAGCAATTTTGCGGTAATATTCCACATTGTCTTAATTACTCCTTCTTTATAGTCTGTACCGTTTATTTTTTTCATATTAAATGCCCAATCCAGTAATATTTTAGCCAATTCACCTTCAGACGTGTTTTCCAGAATTTGGTAATTTTTTAATTTACAAAACACTTTAAATTGTCGCCATATGGATGCTTGACTTTTCGTGGTATTAATTGGCCGATTATCCTTCACCGCCTGGTCGATATCTTGTAACTGTACAGCCCCAAAGCCACTCATTTTGGAATGAAATTCACGATATTCACTTAAACATCAAATCAATATTTTGACATATGTTAATTAATAAACTTAGCGACAAAACAATTAAAATCAACATTAAAGAATTATCGAATTATCGCTGTAATTCGCTGTAGGTTCACTCAACAACAATGCCTCAACAATGTCCCAACAATACAGAGAACTGTCAACAAAAATAATCTACAAAAAATCCAGTCCAGAGTCCAGTCTGTAGATTCAACTGTTTCTTTTTTATTAACGTTGAAACTTATAAATTCTAAACAAATTTGATGTTTTTATATTTAGCGGCTAAACTAATAATCGTAGAAAAAAGTCAAATAGCAATTTTGAAGATCTTTTAATGTTCTACAAATTCGTTCTGAATAAATTTTTTTGTCTAAAATCCTATTTTCATCATTATGCATAACACTGGCCGACAGCCATTTTGGTGCAGGGTAGACAACAACTTTTTTAGGGTAATTTGAGTACGCCGAATCCAAAAATGACCATTATTTTGCTCAATCAGCTCTTGTTTTTGCGATGTAGACAACAAACCATTTTTTTATATGCGCACATTCAAATGCTTAAATATATTTTTTTAACCTTATAATTTAAGCAAGGATAGTTGGTAATGTTGCTATCATGGGCGCCGCTACATAGGGGCAGGGGGGGGCGGTCCACCCCTGGAAATTCATACCCAGAAATTCCGGTACTCCATAATTTGACGGTAAGTGCTGATCGTTATCATTTGTTCATTATTTTTTAGATAAATTAAATTTGTTATCTTAGATAATGTAGCGAGTACGGCTCTGGTTATCGGAATGATGACTCTTTGCCGATGAGTCATCGCCGGTGAGTCATCGCTGGTGAGTCAGCGCTCGAATAATCGAGAGTGTGGAGCTCGCGGGAATGTTCCAGAAGACGTAGGCTCTGAATATATAAGGAACGACGCATCATGGAGAGTCAGTCAAGCTTTGGTACTCGCGACGAAATAAATAAATATACGTGCAGTATAGTAGTGATATATAAATAATTAATAGTTAAGTGTTCAATTAGTTTTATAGTGTTTTAAGTGTAATTTAATTATAAAATAAATAGTTTAGTTCGTTAATAAACCAGTGCGTGTTTTAATTCACACTACGAACAGTAAAAACGTTACAATAATTTAACTTAGATTTGTGCCGTCTTAATGAACACTAGTGTTGTTACAGTTCTAAAATGAATGAAATGGCTGGCTGTTCAAAGAAATCAGAAGCACAGTTTACTGATTCCTATGGCGAAGAAACCAGAAGCCACAGATCATTATGTTCATATTCCAAAGATTTTCGATGGAATCTTATATACGTGCAATAAGGTTCATATCAATTTTGATTTGGAATCCAAGAGTTATTTATATATTTACCAAAAAACTGTGATGTGTTTTTTGCAATATGTACCAATATAAATAAATAGGTAAATATACATATAAAGATGATATTTTATTTGACTTAAGTTTAATGTGAACTTCTACAGTACAACTTGATTATAAATAACATCTATCAAAATTGTAAAAAAACTTTAAGGCCCCCCCCCTA